ATCTTGCACCCGATAATGGCGACGACACCCAAAAATTCTATTTCGTTTTGCAATTTAAATGTTGTCGTCCACGATCAAGCATAACGCGGCACATTTTTATAATACTTTAATCAGTCTTATATGTATGTACCAACATCATGAATAATAAAATAGAATAAAATAAGTGTTCTTCATAACAGAAGGCCAATAATTTTGTATACAGTGCAATGGGACAACAGGAGAGACGACTATCTTGTGTTCAGCTGTACATATTGTGTGTATTCGTGTGTGTGTGTGTGTGTGTGTGTGTGTGTGTGTGTGTGTGTATCAGTGGTGACAAAACACGTTTTAACACATAATGTGCTTAGGACAATATTCCAAACATAACAATGATACTGGACCAAACGAAACAGAACAATCATAGAGAGAAGAAACAGATACAATCACGAATACATAAATGTATATTTTAACGCACTTGCGAATTATAATTACCTATACTGATTTAAAGTAGTCAAAATATCTATATATAAGTGTTTATTTCAAAAATACATAAATATGATTCACATAAGAGATGGCTAAATCACGCGAAAATATATATACTAACTCGATTCAAGTATAATGCGCAGTTGATACATAAACTGCTGTACATATATATATATTTATGTAATGGAAATGTTTTCGTTTTGTAATAAATACATTTATATGTTTTAAAAACAGTGTATTGAAGAATGTTTGTTTATATGAATCATATATAAAGATACGGCAACCGGTTTTCGAAAACACTGTGTACATTTTATACGACGCGTGTATGGTAGGTATGTGTACGCCAACCACGTGAGATATACTCGTACTTTCTATGCGGTGCGCACCCAGACAAAAGGTATTTTCGAATTTCTTGTCTACTTGGAGCAGACGAGAAGTTGTAAGATCTCCGTTGATTTGCCTTTCGGAAGGGTTCTTAAAATACATTTTGATTATCTCAGGATTTACTAAGACATTTTTTGATTCTCAGATATTGAATAGATTTTTTTCAGGATAGCGTAAGATTTCTGAAATTCTGTGGGCAGGCATACACCAAGAAGAATACCACCAATAAGTGTTGTCATTATTAATACTATTGTTTTTGTTATTATTCCTTTTTTTTTTTTTTTTTTTTTTTTGAAAGATATTAAACTCGATAACGCTGTATTATTAATCGATAACACCCTTCGGACGACGAAACTGTCTATGGCAGCGGTTCTCAAACTTTTACAATCAAGGAACATTTAGGAAACAGTTTATGTTTTTAACCCTTGGGTTCCGATTTGTGAATCGGTCGTCTATAGTACAAAATAATATAACTATAAGTAAAATACCCAGTTAAATAAACGATGGATTACTAAAATTTTACTACGGTCAAATAATCAGAATTAATTATATCATTTAATGTACACCGAGACGTTCGCATACTTATGTTAATTACGATATATTATGAAAAATAATATATTTTGTTTTGATCTATTGCCAGAATATTATTATTATAATTTTTATATACGTTGATACACGTGTAGTAAAAGATAAAAATAATATCGCATATAAAGTAAAAATTAAAAACGCTTTATTCTCGTTTAAAATTATTTTTGAATTTCATTTGTAATTATCATACCATAGTTTATGCGTATAGTGTTGTTCAAAAAGTTAATTTACAAAGTTTTATTTTGAGGGCAACAAAAATTAATTGGCATCAGAGGTGCAGTGCTTTACTTCTGCAGAGTTTCACGTATGCAGACCTATCGAATATAGAGAAGTTTGACAAAATTTGTGTTGGCAGATGGTCACAAAACATAACGCTTGACAGAAGAGCTATTTTAGAGCGCACTAATAATGCACGTCTTTGAGTCTCAATTGTTGGAGACGTTAAATCCGTCAAAATAACAGAGATGCATTATATATTAAGTACATCAGTGGTTCCAAATTGTGCTTCATAAAACCCTTAGGACTCCAAAACTAAATGACTACGTTCCTTTAACTGTAGAAAATGTAAAAACGTAACAATTATTGATTGTTATTTAAAAATACGAGCGTATATATTTTTACAAAACACCGCCACTCAAATATAATTCACCAATACGTATACAAACAATATTAAAATCTCGATAGAAATATATAATTTTAAATCTTAGATAAAATGTACTCCTATTTCAGTTATTTCCCGGACAGATATATTGTATAAAAATATAATATTAAATGTAAACTATCTCGTTTTGAGTTTTTTCCTATATAAATACATATCATGAGCAATATGCTTCGTAGAACACGAGCAAATAAAAATACAAATTTTACATTTCTTGGAGTTCCAATGACATGGACACCGTATGATTTTTTCTAATAGGGATACACTAAGTCACGAGTTTACAAAGTTCAAAATGTCTTGAAACTTAAGTAAGAAATTCGTCGTGTCCTCAACGAACTTTATGGGGAAATGTGTAATCGAGTGATGGTAAATTTTATTGAGAGAATAATCGCCTGTATGGCCAGTATGGAAGGTCATATGCCCGATATTATTTTTTACTGTTTAACCTTATCTTCTACCGAACTGGATGATATATTTGTTGTTTTTTTTAAAAGAAATAAATTTAATTTATAGCAGATTTAAATCCTGCGTTCTTCTTGAAACACCCTATATTATTCGCTTATGATCCCACAGCAAATGTATTCTTGTCTGTGCCGTAACTACGTATATTTTAAAACTATTATTATTCCATTTCCTGCGTCGAATTTGTTTCAGTAGTGAATAGGTGCACTCTCTCATCTGATTACACCGTTACTGGTGCGTCGTATAAATAAAATTGTACGTATAATATGAACATGTGTGAACACTAAGTAAAGACTTAAGGCAACGCAAAATCCCCTGCAGGATAAATAATATTTACATATAAAATTATGAATAAAATTTAGGCTAAAATATTTCCTATATTATTTCTGCAGTATTAGGTTAATATATTTCATTTATTTTATGTGTAATTCACTTTAACTTCATTTTTATAGCTTCAATTTTTGTCAAAAAAAAAAAAAAAATGCACTTCATTCATATGTTTCTCTTTTGGTAGTAATAGTTCCATTATTGATAAAAAAATGTTAATTTAAATTTCAACTAGAAAATTTTGAATCAATGGTTATAGGTACACTTTGCTAATAACTATTTTGAAGAACTATAAGATATATTTGTGTGTTTCTACATGTTTTCATAGCCGTAAAAAATTCGATATGTAGGTATATATATCCTGTAAAAATCACCGTGGCATATATGTCTTCACGGCAAGCTCTGAAGTAGAGGTACACTTTAAATGATGTTAAAAATCTTCTCCCAAGCCTTTTCATACGCTCCTTTTCGTCAAAACTACCTCGTGAAACTCGTGTACATACTTACTAAAAACGTACATATACATAGCAACTGTTTGCGGCGACGGTAAACGAATTGTTGTTGTGTGTATATGCATTTATATACGAGTACATTTATAGTTGTTGATCGATTGTTGTCCATGCTGTTACAAAGGTATTCACGATACGTAAACCTCGGGGTCGATTTTTGTATTTACATACTTCAATAGGTCCGTGAATAATATCCGCTGAGTTCGTTTAACGCACATGTGTATATATGTATATAATATAACGCGTTATGGAAATGCGGTAAAATTTTGCCGCCGTCTCTAAAAGGCATTGTATGCAAAACGCGCACTACACAGCTGACGATATATATAGGTGCACACTGTGCGGGATACTTTATTCGTTTTTTTCCAAAATAAAAAACAACACAAATTTCGTTTTTGAAGTCTTATCGTAGCATGAACGATTTTCTTATATGTTACTGGACGAGAGATTGGTAAGGCGGATGGTAGTTAGCTACACGCCGTACCGTGTTAAACGATTGTTTTGCAAGACCACAATGCACCACGTGAGAATCTTTGGCGCATCGATATCCTAAAGATTTTATCTGTATCATTTGCATACCCACGATATTGTTTGAAATTTTACTGTGACGACTAAGATTTTTTGAAACCTTACTACACTACCACGCAAGTACAATTACTCGAACACTTACAAAGACGCGCAATTTTAATTAATATTATAAGCAAAGTAGTAATAATAGTAATAGTAATATAGTGAGTGCGATATAATTAAAGTCAACGAATTCGCGTGTGAACCGAATTGCCGAGGCCGTGTGTCACGCGATTTACTGATCCAGTGTGAGGGAGAAAATGGCCTTTTGCCCTTTACGTCCAACGACGCCACCGACTTTACGACAAAAAAAAAATCGTTGAACATACCAAATCTTATAAAATATTCTATATAATAATATTATTTATAATATTATACGAAAGTAAATAATATGGACTACTGATGAACCAATTATACCGTGGACACCATCAAACGTCACGAGGCGATGCATTGAAAATATGTGAATTACGGTTTTGCGAAGAAAGTAAAATCTATTAGATTGTTAAAAACAACTTTTTAAATGTATTTTCAGGGCAACCACTAACCATTAATTATACACTCATGTACATTAATATATTTGTATAACATTGACGCATAATTTAAAAACAGGTGATTGGAACACAAGTGAAAACGAGTGATTCACACCACTGCATCTGTTAAAAAACAATTAACTCACAGTTAATATTTTAATTTGTACACAAACGTAAATGACAACAAAACAATAATACACATGTGTAGTTAAGATAAGCACGTAGAAAGAAAAAAAATCGTATGGTAATGGTAAAATTTTAGAAGAAAGAGAAGGTAACCGGGAGTGAAGGAAAACCGAAAAAAAAATAAATCAACGAAATCCTCGTCTCGACGATATAGTGGACGGCGGTCGAATGAAAAACGACTTCAGTTTTTCGTAGCGTAAAATGTTCCTCCAACAAAATCCGTCGATCGATTAATGATTTATTCTGATACAGCGGCGTGGATATTATATAGTATTCTACGTAAATATTCTATTTTCGGTTCTACAATAAATCGTAAAAACAACTTACCGACGACGACGTAACTGCTGCTAGGCGTGTTTCTAGCACATAATTCGTTTAGCGAAAAAATGTTTAAACGGGGGAAAAAAAAAAAAAAAATTAAAATTATCAACACGAAAAACCGAACGAGCGCGGGTGACGACGATAATGAAAAACTACGATATTATTTATAAAAACGACGATGAAAAATCGAATTGGTGCGTGGAAGGTTAATAAGGAAATCGGCAGGACGCTGTGCACGCGACTGGAGACGACACCGGTCCCGTTGGCGACGCACTACGGCTGGCTGACGGACGGACGGACGGACGTGCGAGCTAACGGAACGCACGCGCGTGTGACCAGCGAGACGGTGTGTCGGTGACTGATGGCGGTGGACGCAGTGGCGACGACGAAGAACGAGGACGCCGGCCATGTGTTGAATACGGACTCGGCCGCGATCGCCGTCGCACTCGGGCCGTACCGGTCGCGTTGCAGTTACGGTCGCCGTAGCCGACCCCCCCCCCCCCCCCCCGCTGCCACCATCACCCCCGCATACGATGCACCGGCACCGTAGACATAATAAAAATAAATAATAACACGCGCGTTTCACGTACAACGCCGTTATCAACCCCTACGGCGTCTGACGTCCGCACTCCCATGCCACCACCTGAACGTGCGCGCGACCTAATGGGCCATCTAAATATTATAGATCACGAAAACACTGCAATCGGAATACTTCGAATGACTAGAGTTCCTCTGAAAAACAATGGGTTTTACACGTTCATTTTTCCGTCGAGTACTTCATGCACTTACCGATCCCGTCAGTGGTGTAAACGGATGATGACCAGGTGATCGCCGCCACTTCTTACTGCCGAGGGAAAAAAAAACAATTCAAAGAATAGTATTGACTATTGATGTTATGAACTGGTCTAATCCTGTATTAATTGATAATCATTTTTTCAGAAAAATTAAATAATTACTTTTACAACTGCAAAGAACCGCTTATTATATAGAATACTTAAGTTGTTATGAAAATATTTTTCACACCTTTAAGGTTATACGCTTTTTAGATGCTGAATGGAATAAAGGTAGATATGTTTAGACATTTTTATTTAATTAGGTTTGTACTATTTTAGAGAATAAATTACCCAACCACTAAAAATAGACTTATAAATCATATTTTAATACCATAATATTAGACGGTATTTCAATGAAAAGTTTGATGCAAATTACCGATTCCCAATATCGAATACTTTAAGCATGGTTCGAAGATCTAACCAGGCAGAGAAATCATAAATCAAACTCATATTGTGTAATACGAAAATTCATTGTAAATTATCTTGGTTTATTCTTTAGATATTTTCTCATCACTTCCTCTCCTCTTCGTTTTAACCGCCCTAAAATGTAGATAACCCCATTGTCACTTATTTTTATATAACATTTATAACTAATTTTTATATATGTATCTAAATTATTTTCTGAATTTAAATATTTTTTATTGGTTGAAAAAAAAAAGATTTCCAACTAGTAATAGTATGTGAATATGATGGAACACGAATAAATATGAGGCGGCAAATCGTTTGGACGAGACACTAATTTTAGAAAGGTTACGATTTATACGAACAATATTGTGTAATACTGTGACCTTTTTCATACACAAGATATTGTAAAGTCAATTTTTTACTCAATATTCGCAGTCTAGTTAACACACGGCTGTACGTATTACATATATTTTTAGAAATTTGTTGTTTATAAATGTCAATTTAAAAACAAAAAAAAAAGTGAATAAATACATACTGTATTGGAATTGTATGTGTTTCGTACAACAATATTTTACATTTTAAGTTATAACATACGCGTATAATACGTATACCGTAACGAAAAAAGTGATTTGTGTTAAAATTAAATTACATCTATTGTCTTTTCACATTTGTTCATTTGGAGATCCTCTCACTTTCGAGTGTGAATTTTTCTCACGAGAAATATTAACAAATAAATTAAAATTTGACAATCTATATAATAATGATTATTATGATTGTTAACAATTTACCCCATTTGTCATTTTTTTTTTTTTTATATTTCTATAAAAGTAATAAAAATTCTTAAACTTTAAAAACAATATACTAATTTAATGCTCTTATAAGTATTGTCAACTCAACTTTGAGCGTGGTTAAACGCGAAAATGTATATCTAATGTACAATTTATTACTAATTAAACTTATTATGAAATCAATAATCATTATTCTTGGCAATTTTCTCTTTGCACAGTTATTATTAAAAACAAGCTAATTTGTGATACTTTAAAATATCTTATGCATTTCTATTTTATTTCATTTATTAACTATAATTTACTATTGCATGCAGTTTACTTTCGATGCTTAGTCTATAATTATTACGTGTTCTCGATACGCGAGTAGGTACCTACCTATGTTTATTTTGATTTAAATTATTTTTGTACAGGAAAGGGTTTTACAGTGTATAGTTTAGCAATAAAACATACTCTACTCAGAAACATAGCAAATAGAATAGGTAATATATTAAATAAAATTCATTTTTTAATATATACTTTTAATAAATCAATAGTTTTATTTTATACACATATTTATAATGACAAGAAAATATACTCACAAGTCAATGATTTTTTAATTATTTCTATGTATCATATTTATAGAATAGCTACACTAAACTTTGTGTTAATAAAATTCGTGCATATTAAAATTAAAATTTTTTTAACATATTATCTATAAATGTTACAGCCAAGATACAACAAAATAAATCAAGTATTGATAATACGTAACTTTTGGCAGTACATATAAAATAAAGTTTTTATTTCGGATCTTCTAGCCAGAGAGAGCATCGTAAATTTTCGATGGCATATGATATACATTTTTCTGCAGTAGTAAATAATCGATAAATAAATACATATTTTCGAAGGTTTGGGGGGGGGGTGATGGTCCCTCCCCCGAGGCCCCCTTGAAATAAACACTGCATAAAGTATATTAGATCCTTTGAATTATAATGTATAACATACAAATATAAAAACTTGATTATATTAGTATATTAGTAATTTAAATTTTCTATAACTCTTTTTTTATTCAACCTTTTACATTTCGGGTATTCCAACTCAACTGTATTCAATCACTTCTATAAATATGTACAAAAAAATATTTATATCCTTTATTATTGTATATATACAATATATTTTAATTTTATGACGTTTATTTACAGTTAGGTAGTAGAATTATTTTCTTATTTGTAGAAAACAATAGAACCTCATTAAAGACTTTAATATTTTTAAGATTATGTCCAGCGATTGAGCATATTATATGTACGCCTAAATGATTTTCTTAGTGTAATTAGTTTTAATGAACAAACAACTATTAAATTATACCTTATAAATAAGGAGGGTTATAGTTTAAGTTATTAAACCGTAAAAAATAAAAAAAATGGGAAATAAATTGAAATTGTTGTGTGATAATAATTTATATGAGATCGTAATTGGCGATTTTCTCGTTGAATACAGTGTGTGGCCTTAGGAAAACTACTTTTGTAATTTTTTAATCTGCCTATCATTTAATGTGTGTATAGTTTTACGTAGAAAAAAAATATATTTATTTAATTTTATTTTGTTAGTCTTTATAAAATCGGTGTAATTAACCTTCTTCTTTATCCAAACAATTTAACATTAATTTCTAACTGATAAATCATTCGTCTATTATGTATATTCAGTAAGACCTTTAGAAGACAAACCTTCGATAATGCGGAAATCTACTGCAGGCTTATAAGAATGGAAATTTCTTTGTTCTTATATAATATGCAATTTGGTCTTAGACCGTTTTCGTAGTGTACCTATATAAAAATTATTTTTCAACGATCCATCACCTTGACCACGTGTTTATAAATCATGAATTATATCGTATTATACATGCTCATTGTACCTCTAAACACCGAGGAGGAATGTGGATCACTAAGATGCATACGACTGGAAAGATATCAGCTCGTTATCATGGAGGTTTTAACGATAATAAATCTCTGCGAACAGCGCTCATCACGTCCCTAGTCGATACTCTGCGTGCAATACAGCACTGTATATTTTGGTTATGGGAATAATCGAATGATTCAGTTATTATTTTTCGGTTATTAAAATAATCGACTGATTTTAATAATCCAATTAATGATACCAGACATATTTGTCAAAGCAAATTAATTTAATTATTCGAAAAAATTGCTATTTTACTTATAGATATTCATTTGATTATTTATACAACTGGTTCAAGTAGTTAAATCATGAATCATTCGATTATTATTGATTTCGATTATTCCCATCACTAGTATATTCCGGTTGTTCGCTTCGTTCGGCAATATTGTTCAAATACCAAACATCAATGATAAAATGTTATAATTTTAATATTATTCAGCTACGCCCATAATGTGTGTTTTACTTCACGCCGAGAAATCATTATCGAATTCAATGCGGCGGTATCAATTAGTGTTTATCGTCAGATCGTAGTTCGTGTCCACGGTGGTGCTGCCGATGATACACGCTGAGACGATCATTGTTCGACGGGCGTTATGCACAGTGTACATTCGCGTTTGTTGGCGTTACGTACCAATATAATGATCGGCATTCGAATATTGGAGGAGAAAAAAAAATTGCATTCGGTATGACACTCGGTAGTAGTTTTCGGTTCCAATTATAATATTATCGAATCATCGGGCGAAAAAAAAAAACAACAATAGCAATAACATTAAATCCGTAAACGTCGTTATTTTGTAACAGCAGCAGCAGCCAACTATACAATAATATTGCCGTACGTGTACGGATAAATGTGCGCGATCACTCCGTACACACAAACACATGTATTTATTATACACACACATATATATTGATATAATATTATAGTGTTATAGTTGTTTATCGTGGATGTATGCGATTATATGTATACATATGTACGAGTTGAAGCGAAAATCTCCGATGTGACCTGTCACTTTTCGCGCGCAACAAGGACGTTTCACGGACACTGCCCAGCAATTACCTTGTCTTTTGTATGTACTCGAGCATTTATCTGAATTTTTAATCCAATTATGTTCGCAATTATTGTATCACGAATTTTCCAATGGCTGATACCCCATCCGATAATTTCAATAGTATACGAAAGAGGTTTAGAATAGATTAAAAAAAAAAATATATGTTTAAATATTGTATTGTGTTTGAACTTGAGCACTTGCAAAAAGACGAATAAATATCCAAATTAGCCTTTTAGCTGTCGTTTTAATAGCAAAAGTAAGTATGCAAAAATCATTGTTAATTTGATGAATTAATTTATAAAACACTACAGTTTCAATGGTCATGGAAAGGTTGATATAGTGCTCCGGTCATTTGAGAGTTTGAGTCCGGGTACCACACTCTCCGATCTCGAGTACGTATACATTGTAGTTACGCACTTTTG